CGCTGTTCAAGCTATAAGGGGTGAAAGAGAAACAGTCACAAAGGAAGAAGCTATTGCCATGCTCTCTCTTTAGAGCAACCAGAATGTCCTGCAAAACCACTGTCATGGGTGCACCTTATTTTAAATGTTTATTTGTAAAATATTGCATTTATATAAATGGTTAAAAAAAACAACAGTGAATCATAGTTATTTAATCTTCTAAACTTAAAGCCCAATTTTGGGATTAAAAAAAACCCTCCTATCTGCCCCTCCCCACCGAAGAATAGAACATTTTTTTTCTTTACACACCTTAAGCCGTGATCCTTCTCCTCTCCGTTTCATGCATGCCCTGATGGATCCATTCCTCTGTCTTCTCATTGCAATCTCAATAATAAAAACACAAAATCCAATATGTAGAGAAATGACCGCGGCAAAAAAGCCAACCTAGGAATGCAGGCGCAGAAATCTCACCAAAGTACCCCCAAAAAAATAGATTCTAAGTGGACAGTCATAACATTTTTGTTTTTAGTTTAGGATACATTTGGGAAGAATAAATGCTTCTGTAAAGTTTTTTTTATTGTTATTTGTGACCTTGTTGGAGAGATTTGATCTCACTTCCTGTCCCGGAGACAAACAGGACAAGAACTGACTGTGGACTGCAATAAGTCTTCCCCCACTGAAGAGATTTGCAGTCACTTCATGTACGCACAAGTGGGCACAGACTGCAAATAAAAACTTGACATAAGGTTTACTACCTTGCCATCTATGCCCAAAACCTAAAGAAAAAGAGAAAAAGTGTGGGCTGGAATGGGGCTTCAAAGAGTTTACTGATCACTGATGTATTTCTTAGGCCTAGATGATTTGGGGTTAAAGCCTAAACCTTTTAGTTTTGGATAGAGTAGCGAATGGTGAAAATCCCTATGGAATTTCAAGTAGAAAGTCACTTGCACGCCAAGGAGTATTGGACTGCAAGTGACTTTCTATTTGAATTTCCATATGGCCTGCTGAGGTATCTGCTGTCACTGCTACACCCACCCTGCTTTTGGGTTTCTTTCCGGTCAGGTGTGCGATGGGACACACTTTGTCTTGGTGAAAATCCCTGTCATGTTTTTTTTTTGGAACCTGAGGAGATTTCTCTTCACTTCCTGTCCTTTAGACAGAGCAGGAAGTGAGGAGATCACTGCATCCACTACAGAATACAGACTTACCTGCTAAATCGATCTCGTCCAGTGCAGTAATCCTCCTACTTGGTGCTTCCATCTTCAGCTCAGTCCTTTTCCAGCTTTTGACTCTTCAACCGCTTGATTGGCCAGGCCCTGACGATGTAACGCCACAGTAGATACTTTAATTTGGCATGTGGGGCCTGTGGGTTGAGCTGCACATGCGCGGTTCAGCATAGAAAAAAACAATTGCCAAGTGGTAAAAGGAAAGCAAACCAGTTGGCATTTTTTTTTAACCTTTACTTCCACTTGAACTATTAGAAAATCAGACAAACGTTCCAAAAACGTGAAATTCTACTGGTCTATTGCCAGCTTTAGAACTACAACCAATGTATTTTTCTACTTTTGGGTATACTGGGGAAGGATAAGGTTGGCCTTACATTATGCAAATGTTTGCACAGTGGGTACCGGCACCCTTTCAACCGGAATCCCTTGATCAGCTGATCGAAGGAGCTAGTTGGAAAATCTTCAGACGAACAGAGCTGGCAGCCAATGAGCTACCAGCTCTGTTCGGGTATTCTGACAGCAGCCGTCAGCCGCTGTCAAAATACAAAAGAAACAGCGGGAGATTCCTCAATCAATGCTTACGAGCATTGATGAAGGAATTTGTTCTATTTTTTCATTCAACCCACGGGTTGAATGAAAAAAATAGAACAGTGTGTGCCAGCTTTAGAGCCCCCATTGGGGGAGTTCTCTCGCACTTTGTGTCCTGTCCTTGTCACGATAACAGAAAGCAGGTGTGGAATAAAATCTTATATCTGTTACCAAAACAAAAACATCCCAATGGGCAAAACACTTTGGGATAGTTTTTCTCTTTCACTGTTTTGTCTCCAAGAGAGAGCAAGAAAAAGAAGACTCTATGGAAGATAAAAAGGACTTTCGTATTGTGACGCAGTAACAATCATTACAAATGTACCATATTATCTATAAACAAAAACTAAAACAACACGCTTCTGACTTAACAGTGCACCTAAGGAAGACAACTGAGTTTGGACGTGAAAGTGACAATGCATCCAGATGTTTAATTCTCTACTGCCAACAACCTTTTCAGAGCAGTAATGTGTTTTGAGTATTGTGGGGAGTTTTATCTCTGTTTTTCCCATTGAAAAGAGAGAGATAGAGAGAGCAGCCGTAGCTTGTCACAGTGATTGGTAGTTAAATCATGTTCTCTGCTTGATAGAGCTGTGGAATTGCTTGTCAGTAGGACATGTTGTTTTTCAAAGCCCACCTTGTATAGAAATCAACTGCCGGAGAGGTAAGGAGTGTTTATACTACAAAGCTTCCATTAACATGCTGCGGGGATGTGAGAAATAGTAAATGGCTCGTTAGAAATCGTACAAAAGAGGCATGTAATATAACACGCTTCACAGAGGACACAGGGCTAAACAAGGACTTTACATCTGAAAAGAAACGAAAAACAATCCTTTAATAAGTAAAAAACAAACAAACTTTGAATCAAAACTATCAAGTCAATGGATACTTTCCATGTTCTATTCCAATACAAATGTTACTAAGAGTCCCATTATATCATGGCTGGCAGATTTCCTTGTCCATTCTTCAGCTGGAACGTGCCTTTTTTTCTTGGGCAGTAAATTTTTCTTTCTTTTTATAAATAAGGGCATAATGATCTTCTTTTATGGTTATTGCAATACATTCAGATTACTCAAGAGCATTGTTCAAAGTAAATCGTCTTTTCAAAAGCCCATAAGAAAGTTGCAGTTATAGATAATGGCAGGGTTACATATTATTATCCTGTAACATGGATCAGTAGTTAATCTGTATATTGTCCTAAGGTATCCTTTGTTAAAACAATCAGAGTTGTGCTTGAGCAAGGCAAGAAATATAACCCATGGGCTTACACTTGGACAAGGTAATAAGAACAACATCAGTTCAGCGTTTTTCAGTTTCAAAGAAGGGTATTTCAGCTGTTGGAGGAAGAGGTGGTGGGAACATTTAGCTGTTAAGATAAAGGAGTTTTAAAGTATAAAGAAACATACAAATGACAAGAAAACAAGCAACAGTTATACAACACCCATGCAAACAATTACACTATTTGGCCAAAAAGTTTGTGGTCACCTGAGCATCATACGTATATGAGATTGCTGGACATCCCATAACAAAACCATGGGCATTAATATGGAGTTGGTCCTCTTTGAAGTAAGAACCATAGCCTACACTCTTCTGGAAAAGTGGATGGTTCAGAAACCGTGATATATAACTGAGATATGTCTGAGAACAGAGTGAACCAGCTGGGAAGTATTTACTGATGGCCCCTGGTTGAAAGGGAAGCTTTCACTGGAATCATCTGTGGGAGCCTGGCTTTGTGTGTCTCAGTAGTGCTGCCAGACCTCTTGAATAATGGGGTCTCATATTCTAGTAAGCTGCATGGTGTGATACTTACCCTGGAGGTGTTACACAGCAGATTACCTTTTTCAATTCAGTTAAGTACTGCTAATTGTAATCTGTATTAGCTATTGATGTTGACATTCTAATTCCTCCCCAGGGCCGGTGCAAGGATTTTTGCCTACACAGGTAAGGGTGCATTTTTCAGCACCAACCCCCCGGCGTCCTCAGGCATCTGACTATGCAACCTTACGTTAGCGCCTGCCCTGTCTAGATTGCCCCAAAGCCACCTGGGCTATATGACATATTGCAGGTAGCTGGGGACATCATTCCTGTCTAGGCGAGAAAGGCAAAAGTGCAGTCTGTGTTCAATGATTAAAAACAAAAACAAAACATGTATCTGGTATTTTAAGCAAGGGGGAACACTATACTATAAAGAAAAAAGGACCGAAGGTTCACTTTAAGTATGCTAAGTAGGGATGCACCAATACCGATACTTACCTCCGATAACGGAACTTCTGGTCAGGGGGACATCTCCCTCGCCCTCTGACCGGCAGTGTCGAGGGAGACTGGAGCTGGCTTCCTTTCTAATCAGGAAGCCGGGCAGTGGGTTATGTCCTGCTTCCTGATCGGCTAAGAAACCGGCTTCACTTGATGCTAGGCAGTCTGGCTTCCTAACCAATCAGGAAGCCGGGTGGCACGTAATGACCCACCTCCTGGCTTCCTGATTGGTCAGGAATCCAGGCTGCCTAGCAACAACTGAAGCCAGTTTCCTAGCCAGTTTCCTAGCCAATCAGGAATCCGGGAGGCGTGTCATGATGGGGCGTTCGGCTTCCAGATAGGCTAGGAAGCCAGCTTCACTTGTTGCTAGGAAACCTGGCTTCCTGACCAATCAGGAAGACAGATGGCAGCTCATGACCTGCCGCCTGGCTTCCTGATTGGTCAGGAAGCCAGACAGCCTCGGCAAGTGAAGCCGGTGTTCTTTCAATAGAACATCGGCTTCCCAGGCAATCAGAAAGTCGGGCCGCGGTCATGATCTGACGCCCCACTTCCTGATAATTGGGGCAGACGGCACTGTTATAGGCACTCAGTATCAGCGAGTACTGAATTTTTTTTTTATTTGTATGCCTCTAGAAATAACAGTAGCATTCACTGGAAACACCAGACCTAAATAATTGGGTGGGGGTGGGGGGCGGGGGTGTCCACATACTTTTGGCCATATACTGTATGTCCAGAGTTACTAGGGGTTTTAATATTATTGATTGGACCCTGAAAACCCCAAAACAGTTTAATTGAAGTCATTTTTAAATCTTCACAAAGTGTAACTGATCATTGTACATTTTTACAAACCAAAAATGGGTCCTGGACCTTAGGAGACCATTTTAGCACTCAAGGTTTAACTGAGGTCACAGTGCTTATCAAGGAACAGTCACCTTGCTTAGTCCAACAAGAGAAGAATTACAAGTATAAAAAACAAGAACTGATGTCCTCTGGTTAGCATTGTGCTGTTGGAGGGCATTTAATGGCTTGTTTGTTCTTCAAGACACAGTTAGATATTGGTAACTTATGTTGTATGTTATATTCTGGATCTTGAGCAGTCTTGGAAAAGGTCACTATAGAGACCATGTCATCTCCGATGTCCACCTGAGTCCTCCATCGCCTACATATGAGGAGTTTTTTGAGGGCTCTTTGAAAGTCACGGTTGAGAAAAGCATACAACATGGGGTTGATGGTGGAATTGCAGTACCCCAGCCATGTAATGTACTTAAAGGCATTCACGAGAACAGTGCTGGTGGAACTGGTGCCCCTTGCAGCTATCAAAACGTTCAGGACAAAGTATGGAAGCCAGCACATAACAAATACAGAGATAATAATACTCATGGTCCTAGTGGCTTTATTCTCCAGTTGCAAGTTGTTTTGGCGCTTGCTGTTTGGGTGGTAATGGAGGTCCAGTGTCTGGGAGACAATACGAGTGGCTTTTAACCTGGAAGCTCTGTAGATGAAGAAATACATACTGCACATGATCATGAAGGGGATGTAGAAAGCAAGGGAGGAGGCAACAATGGCAAAGGTCCAGTTGGTCACAAAGATGCACTCCTTCCCATTGTCAAAGTCAATCCCAGGGATCTCATTCCAGCCTTGCATGACAGGGAGGAAGGATATCAGTGAAGAGTATACCCATATTGTTACCGTCATGACGATACATCTACAAAGAAATATAAAATATTATAAGGATGAAGACTGGAAACATTTGCAGCATTACTATATACATTACATCATAAAAGTAATCAAAAGTCAAAGTCACCAAAAGCCTCTGTTGCTACCATAAATGAAAACACAAACAAGCCAAACTCATTTAAACATCAACCGAAAATTAGTCACAAGGCAATTTTCACATAACACATCCTCGTGTATTTGGCTTTCAGTGTTATGTATTCCATAATGTAAGGCATTTTCATGAATATATGGGACCTTCATACTATTATTGCCCACAAGTCAAAAGTAGAATAATGCAGGTCTTGGGTAAAGTGTATTCATACACAAAGCTAAAACAGACACAACCCTAACTAAAAACTCATGGAGTGCTCTTGTAATCCACCAGCTCCTACTGTGCTATTTGGCTTCATAGCATCATGAGGATGAAAACGCTTTTCAGAGCCATGTGTACTCTTGTTCTCCTGAGCTGCCTCCTACCTGCTCTTTTGATTACTTACCCCTAGCACACTGGTGATGTGCACCCTGGGCTCTTTCCTTTCTGCAAACCCCCTCCCTTTTTCTCATCAGCTTACAGAGCAGGCAATACAAGTGCAAGGCTGATTTTAACTCCACATATGGCAATTTAATGATAATGGAGGTCCAGTGTCCAGTGTTTGGATACTACGTTTTGAAGAGAATCACACTAGTTGATTTATAAGAAATGCATAACTATAGGTTGTTCTATATATTTGCTTGGAGGTCATTTTTTTACAAGCAAAATGTGTTTGAACCTTAAAGGTGAAGCTTGTCCTTATTATAAAAACACAGACCAGCCTACATGTCCCTAAACTCCTGGGAACATTTCAAACTACTCTTGCAGTGGGACTCTCCCCACACTGCAAAGGTAAATGCTCCTATTTTGTCTAGAATACCGTATTTTTCGCTCTATAAGACGCACTTTCCACCCCCCCAAAAGGTGGGTTCCCCCCCCCCAAAAGTCTCTTTTCTTCGGCACCCCATCCCTTGATCGTCCTCATGTACAATGTAGGACCAGTAGTCCCTAGAGCTCAGCATTAACATTTATTAACAAGAGTTAAAAATTCTATCAGGTGTTTATTTTTATCAGTGTCTCGGCTGGGACAATTTACTCTCCATGTGTCTTGGTGACCATTGTAACCAGAACTGAAAGTGAGAGATAATCCAAAATGTTGACTTGTTACTAGAAAAGGAACATAGGGGAACAGCTTTGACAAAGCCACATGGCTCTTAAACAAAGACTCCATCACTGTGCTGTCAGGGCTGATTGCTACTAATCCATAAAAAAAGGTACTTAAAGGCATTTCAGATGCCTGCACCTAAATAAGCATTTGCTTTGCCAGTGTTTATAGAAACTGCTGCCAAATAGGAACTGTTCAGCTTATAATTAGTAATCAGCTTATAACTGCACAATCTGTGAACAAAAACTGTTCCGGTCTTTCCCCTAAGCCCCGATTCACAGCTGACTAGACTGTATTTTGAGCCAATTTTGAAGCTTTTTTTGCAAATGTTTCATGCTTTTTTCAAGCATTTTATGGCTTAAATGTTGCTGTTTTATCCAATGGAAACCTAGTTACTAGGAGGAGAAGACTGTTGTCATGTGCATTTTTTAGGCACTAACATTCAAGTCTATGGGACCCAAAATGAGCAATTCTGCCTGAAACAAACCTACTGTACCAGCAAGCGAATGTTTAGATGGGAACAGACACCATATTTCTACTCAAGCTTTAACTGAGCTCACAACACTTACCAAGGAGCAATCGCCTCTGTCTTAATATATTGGTTCTATCCAATAATTAGGCAGATTTGGTCTGAGGACAGGTTCTAGCAGAGAGGAAGCTGATTTCTGACGGAGGTACCCAGTCGGGGTACCAGGCGGTCCGTCACAATTGGTGGCAAGCGGTGGGATCTGCTTCCTCTCAACGGAGTAGTCCAAACCACCAACGGAATCCATTTCTCAGCCGACCGAGCGACTTAGGGATTGAAGCAGCCATGACCCTGGCAGTGGAGTACTCCAAATAGTTGCGGATCATCTGTCTAAAAGGACAAAAGGGTCTGTCTACGGAAGACTAGTTCACCCTCAGACAGACTGCACGGACAGCTCTCTGGAATATTACAGAGGCACACCAGGGCCGGTTTCATCCATTTCCAGAACAAAGGGTCCGGAATCAGATGGCCCTGCGAATGGTTATCCTGGGAGAGCAGCCTCAGGAGCATTAGGTGGCTGATTTGTACAAGTTGGTTCAGCGAGAAGTAAAGCTGGATGAATGGTATCGTGCTCTGCATTCGTATGCAGAACAAACTCAGCCAGCATTTACAGCTGAATATCCAGAGGGCTATGACTTTGATGACCCTGGACTGTTGTGGGACGCCGTGGTTGATATGTTTGAGTTTGGCGATGATGGGGACTCTGCCCTGGAGGACCTTTTTGCATACCAGGAAGACTTGCTTGGTTTGGAGGGGGTTTGAGAGCTGATTTGGAGTATGTGGTGAAACAAGAATGGCTACTGGAAAAGGCATACAAGGAGCTGCTAGGATGCGTCCAGCAGAGTGTCTCAGACCCAGTGGAAACCACATCTGCAGAGAGTGTGGATTTAATGGACTTTTTTGTGGAGGTTGTACAGCTTGCTGAGTCCCCAGGTGAGGTGCTGGCAACAGGGCAGAGGGTTGCAAGCCTCTGCCCAGCACCTAGTACAGCCACAGGGTTCCAGGGAGAAGAGGGAGACAGTCTCTCTCCCCAGTGGCAGATGGAGTTCCAGGGAGAGGAGGCAGCCGGCCTCTCTCCCCAGCGGAAGATGGAGTTCCAGGAAGAGGAGGTAGCTGACCTCTCTCCCCAGTGGCAGAGTGAGTTCCAGGGAGAGAAGGTAGTTTACCTCTCTCCCCAGCAGCAGATGGAGCATCTAGAAAAAGGTGCAGCTGACACTAATCCCCAGTGGCTGAGTGCTTCCCAAGGAGAGGAATTAGATGTCCTTTCATCCCAGCGACTGGAAGAGCATCAGGGAGTAGGTACAGCTGGCATTTCTTCCCAGCAGCTGTAAAGTTTCAAGGGAGAGAGTGTACCCTACACTTCTCCCCAGCGGGAGCGGCACCCGGAGTTCCAGTGAAGGGAGGTCAGCGTCCTTGCTCCCCAGCGGCAGTGTGTTTACCCGGGAAATGATGTGCGCAGCATCACTCTCCTGCGGCAGAGTCAAGCGGACCAGTATGAAGAGCTTTTGGATTTATCTTGTCTGACTAACACAGGTCCAGACAAGTTGGGGGTCTGGTACCTGGTTAGTCTACTGTTGGGAGGGGAGAAATGTGAGAGACTGAACCGTCACTGGGGCTGCTGGAGGAGCCTGGTGGCTAGCCTCCTTCCTACTGACTACGGACCTAGGGCTGCAGAGATTTATTACCAAGGAGAACTTTGTTTGCTGTGTGTGTTTTCCTGTTTAACATTTAATCTAGAGAGAGAGCTTTTCACTATTTGACTTGATTTGAACATGATTTGGATACCATCGCTGCTAAACATAATTTTATGAAGGCAGCAGGATGTCTATAATGGCCATTGTTTGGGATGCTGGGATCAAGCTCTTATCTAATTACGGACATTCATTAGGTTCAAAGAGTGTCTGTGCTTAAGGAATTCCAATGCGGCACCCGGCTATCTAGGGATGGGAACTGTTCAACACACTGAACTCTTATCTGATTCTGTGAGGTATAAACTCTGTGTGCTTTCTTCAATAAAGCAGTTCTTGGTTTTCACTTCAACATTGGTGTTGTCTGATGTTTGAGGAGTTTAGCTTTCTGTCCTAATACATTGGTTCTATCCAATAATTAGGCAGTTTTGGGCTGAGGACACTGGAATTCGTGTTCTAGCAGAGAGGAAGCTGATTTCTGACAGAGGTACCCAGTCGGGGTACCAGGCGGTCCGTCACACATGTACCGGTGTGTTGTTTACTGAGTGATGGATGTCAATAATTTGTATCTAAAGTAAAGATGGAAATGTCTGAAAAAGGACTATAAATGCATCCTCTCTACTATTATAGTACACATGCCTCTGCGTGGAATTCTAAGAGCCTAATAGATGGCTGATCAAACATCTTCACTGGTCCTTAAGTCCGAATGTCATAACAGTGAATTTAGAATCCCCGTCAAATTACACATTACGTCTAAGCGGCATTAAAGACATATATGACATGGCGTTGATCGACACTTTGAACTAAGATGTGTATGGAGTGACACCTTCAACTAAGATGTCCGCTATGACAGTGTGTTATTAGGACAGGGTTCTTTCAAGTTTATAATGGCTCCTATCCATCTTCTTTTATCTATACAGACAGTTCTTCATTTGAAGACTAGCAATTATTTTTCTGTGTGTCACATCATAAGCTAAGGACTGATGCTTGAAGTGTGCAGGCCAGACTAAAACCTTCCCCAGTACATGGAACTTAAAAGTGTCATAGCCTGGGTCAATGATACCTAAATAACATGAGCGGGAGATGAATGGACACTGAAGAAACCACTCATTCAGGTATGTTAGCCTGCCCACTGTTATCTATCTATCTATCTATATATCCAGGGCCGTCTTTAACGCAGGGCAAAAGGGGTAGTTGCCCGGGGGCCACTCATTGTTGTGAGGCCCAAAGCAGCTGCCGACTGAGCCGCAGCACCGTTCTGTTCACTATACATTGCATACTGTTGCTCTGCCCCTGCCAAACAGTGCATAGCGTGACATCTCAGGGACTGGACGGCAGGGGGTACAGTGAGGGCATGGTGGGTAGAGATGGGGGGCCCAAGAAGATGTTAACCCAGGGTCCAATCAATATTAAAGACGGCCCTCTATCTATCTATCTATCTATCTATCTATCTATCTATCTATCTATCTATCTATCTATCTATCTATCTCTCATTTTAAACTTGTGTGATCAACTGAACAGACCCACCACAGATCTATCTTGCATAATGAAGGGAATTTATCAAAACTGGAGCATCCGGGGGAATTTTCCCACAGCAACCAATCAGCTTCTATCTTTCATTTTCAAAGCTTAACTGAACAAACTGAAAAGTGAAGCTGATTGGCTACTGCTCCAGATTCTGCTCCAGGCTTGATTAATGCCCCTGCTGTTTCAGGCTTGTTATTCCTCATCAGTGCAAGATAATCCAATTAACAGCTTTCATAGTGAAGGTAAACTATAAGCAGCTGGGCTCTGCAGTGTGTGTGTCCAGGAAGACTTCGTCCCCAGACTCCCAGCATGTCTATCAAACAACCAAGGTGGAATTTTCCATGCATTTACCATGATAAAGGAAAAAGCACTGACCTGTGACGTGACATCCTCTTGGAATAATGGTAGGGAGTAACCACCGAACAATATCTGTCCAGACTGATGAAGCAGAGGGTGACGATGGACGCCGTACAGAACATGACATCAAATGAAATCCAGACCTTACAGAACTGCTTTCCAAATAGCCACATCCCGGTCACCTCATAGATTATACTGCAAGACAAAACATAAGACACAGCATGTCATAGACTAGATGAAGGTAAATTGAGTCATTTTTTTTTTTTACTTTAGCACTAGTTGCAGTGTTTGTCGGATAATATTAGTTCGCTGATTGCTTTTACTAGTTATCTGGAATAGCCAATGTACATTAAAAAACAGGCAAGCCCTAAAAAAATGCAACTTCAGACAGTATACCCTGAGCTGAGATATTATCTCCTCTGTCACTGATGGAGCCCTATTTCCTCCTACTTTTTATCTCTCTAGATTGTAAGTTTTTTTTTTGGCAAGGTTGTTGTATCTTACTATTGCTGTATTTGTTTTGCTATATACAGTAGCTGTTTGGATGTTTTTACTTTATAACATGTTATATATCTGTATTATTTAGCTTTATTATTTAATGTAACTTGTTTATGCCTGTATAACCTTCTCAATCGGAGCACACGTATTAACTCTGGATAGGAAGGACAGGAGAGTGCATGTGTGCGCATGGCTGTGTGGTCCAGACACTGACAAGCAGCTGTGTGGTCCTTATCGGTGGTATCTGGCTGTATCAGAGCATGTGAGTATAAGACTGGAGGATGGGGAAGGGGACCGGAAGCAAAGGAAGCTTCAATATACTGTAAGTGTGATTGCAGCAAAGGTCAGTATGTGCTGCCTCCAGCAATTACATGTTTATTGCAATGCATTGGTATTATTATGTATTGCTATAGTTAATATTTGTAATGCTGCCATCTTGTGGTTACTCTGTTTATTGCACCTCCTTTCCTGTATTCCCTCCCCATTGTATGATGTAAATACTTACGGGTCTATTCACTAAGCTGCCGAGGGCAGCCGAGTGAACAACCGACCCCAAGTGAAGTGAGCCGAACACTGTTCGGCTATTCACTTCAGGCTTGTACGGCTGATTTCAGCCGTATATTGGCTGAAATCAGCCGTACATCGGCTTGCTTCGCATGGCTTCTGGTCGGCCGAACATGCTCAGCATGTTGGCCGACCCGAAGTGCAGAAGGAATTCGACTCAGCCGATCCAACATCTGGATCGGCTGAGCCGAACTTCTGGCAGGCTACTCACTGCTGTTCGGCCTATTCTTATATGTGCCGAACAGCAGTCAGTGAATAGCCGAATGCCGCGGCATTCGGCTCGGCTGTTCTGCTCGGTCCCTCAGAGAGACCGAGCAGAACAGAAAAATAGATAAATAAGTTAAAAAAAAGTAAATAGAAAACGATTGTGCGGAGCTAGCAATGACAGCTAGCTCCGCCCAACAGATTTGGCCGGCCGCTCGGCCAGCTTCGGCTTTCAGCATGGCTCGGCCGAGCCGATGCATATGCGTTCGGCTCGACTGAGCCGCTCGTCCATGTTCGGGAGCTGTACGGGCTATTGTGAATAGCCCGTACAGCACCCCTTCGGTTCTACTGAACCGAAGGGGTCCTGGGGCCGAAGCTAGCCGAAGGATCGGCCGAAGCTGCGGCTAGATCCTTCGGCAGCTTCTTGAATAGACCCCTTAATTTTCTCAGTGTATGATTCAGACATCTTAACACCACATGTGCTCGTGAGGCCACCAAGGAAATATTCGTTTTGACCTCTCTAAATACTTTCATTCAGCCTCTACCACATCTTATTGTCTGCTGGTAACCTGCTGCTCGCAATACATATGGAAAACTATTTGGTGAGTTCAGCTATCTGATGAAGATTGCTTGGTATATACAGGCATAGAGGTCTCAGGAAGGGATACATCACTATTTCAACCACTGGAGTCAGAATACAGTGAGAGAAATGTTTTAGGCTGCAGTGCATAAAGGAGAAGTATTGGGAGAGTAAAGTATATTCTTTCCAATACTTAGAGCCAATGTGGATCACTGCAGCTGTCACGTGCCAGCTCTATATACTGATAGCTGAGTGATCAGGAACCGCTGATCGCTCAGCGCATGGTCTCCTACCTGCAGAGAGGGGTGAATGTCAGTCACCGCTCCCCATAGGGATCCCCCCCCCCTTCCCGGCTCTGTTCCTCCATAGCTCATTGGAGTAATACACAGGGGAGGGAGTCTGCACAGCTGATCCTGGATCAAGAGAGACATAGCCAGCTCTCAATCAGCTGTTGGGATTCTTCCCAGCCAGAGCACAGCTCTGTGCTGTCACTGCCTGCTATATGCTGTCTTGGGATCGAAGGAGTATATTAGGGAATGTACATACAATGTTACATAGCCCACCCTTAAAAGATCATGGCTTCTAGACCTTGCATGGTCATGCTATATTCAACAAACTTTCAGTAAAATGAAACACAGAAATCAAAGAAGAAACCTTTACGTGTTTTGAGATTCTGGATGATCTGGGCAACTTCAAAACGAACCATTATGCTGGTAAAATAATAACGCGGAAGTGTAGAGAGAAGAGTGCCAGACCTTCCCTTGGACCAGTAAAAGCTGTCTATGTGAGAGATGGGCACATATGAAGTTGTGCGTGGGTTTAGGACAACTCATGACTCCACTAAAAAAAAGTTGAAAAATGTGTGATTTTTTTAGTCCCAAGCCAGTTTAGAACATTTCCATTACTTATAGATGTGCATCAACACTTGAAGACATGTCACAAGACTCACAAGTTACATGTACAGAAAGGGCAGAGCCAGTGTGTTAGAGCATATTATTATTCATATGTGCCTAGGACAGAATGCTAAATACAGCCATGGCTATACACAGGGTATCTAAATATAATGATTGCATAATGATGTGGAATCGCCCACTTTTTGGCTTCACATACTGTTCAACCTGTTTATTAACGATATTGGGGAGGGCGTGAATAGCCATGTTTCAGTGTTTACTGATGATACTAAAATCGGGAGGGTAATAGACACGGACTTAGACAGTATAAAATTACAGGAGGACCTGGATAAAATAAGGGAGTGGGCAACTATATGGCAGATGAGGTTTAATGTCGATAAATGTAAAGTAATGCACTTTGGGGTTAAAAATAGGCAAATGGAATACACATGAATGGGTACTCCTCTAAGGAAGTCAGAAATGGAAAAAGATCTGGGGGTCATTGTAGACCAGAGATTGAATAATAGCTTGCAATGCCAGGCTGCTGTAAACAAAGCGAGCAGAGTTCTGTCTTGTATTAATAACGGACTTTAATGTAGAGACAAATCTATAATTTTGCCACTTTATAGATCGCTAATTCGACCTTATCTGGAGTACGCGGTCCAGTTTTGGTCACCAATACACAGAAAGGATGTCCTTGAGCTGGAAAGAGTCCAGAGAAGGGCAACCAAACTAATTACGGGGATGGAGGACCAAAGCCATGAGACAAAATTACAAAATGTAAATATGTTCACGCCGGAGGTGCGGAGATTAAGGGGGGGGGCATGATTTTCATGTACAAGATGTTTAACGGTGATAGCAACATCAGCAATAAACTTTTTACGGTAAACTCCATAACAAAGACTAGAAGCCGCCACCTACAATTGGTGGAGAAAAGATTTCAGCACAAGGGGCGAAGGGGCTTCTTCTCAGTTAGAGCGGTTAGGGTTTGGAACTCGCTGCCACAAGCTGCCACAAACTCTTAAGAACAAGATCACACAGGGACTCATACACACGCATTCACATGCATACACGCTATGGGTTGAACTTGATGGACCTGTGCCTTTATTCAAACTCAAATACTATGTAACTATGTAACATAAACATAACAAGAAGTTAAACAGGATGCCATCTGGGCAAAATGCAAGGTTCTGACATATACCATAAACAGCAACATAGAACAGACAATGTGTACCAAACCCTAAAATTCTTACAGTCTCCTTTCCAGTGGAAATGAACTAATATATAATTAATTAATGCTCAGAAGACTAAATCGGCTTTTAAGAGATTCCAGATTATAGACTACAGAGACTTTGCTGCCCCAAGGGAGCTGGCTTTACATGCCCCAAAATCACAGTTTTAAGACCTTACCTGGTCCTGGCATAGTCAACAGTAAAATGAGACTTCTTCATTCTCTTTTCTCTCATGCTTTACCATAAGATTTCTTGTGGAGATGTACAGACATGCACAGAGGGACAGACATGCAAAGAAGAAACCTGGACATGTTTCAAGATTTTGGATTACTTTTGTCAACTTTTCTGGCCATTATTTTTTGTTTCATTTTATTATTAATGCTGAAAATTATTTGGTCATATAAAGCAGTCTAGCTTTATATGACCAAATAATTTTCAGGGAAGAGGTTCTTGTCCTCATCAACATGGGTACAAGGTGCTCTGCCAGGGGTTCCTCCCTTGTGAAGCACACTCCCCATGTTGAGGTCATGTGGCCTGGTCATACTCACCACATGCTGTTTTTTTAATTAATTGTGAATGTGACCCAATAACAAAAACTAAAAAAGAAATCTGAATGGATCCAAAAAGCAAACGAAATGAATTTTCTGGCGGCTTACAAGACTACTGCTCTGACCCACAGCAGACATTGCTCTTCCCTGTTGGCATTCATAACTACTTTCATTTGTACTTGGAGAGAAATGGAGTCTCTGTACATAGCTTGGTTTGGGGTCAAGGATACTGCACAGCCGCAAACAGCTTTGAAGAGCAAACACTGGTACTTGCAGGCAACACAAAGTGCCTTTGCTTCTGAGTAATACCAGTGGATCTATCAGGTTCACTTTAACTTTCTGTTTACAAAAGAACGGTTTGCTTTAAAGCTAAACTCACTTTACAGTTCATGGCCATGTTAATCTCCTGGTTTTATGTGATTAAACACGGCACATCTTAAAATTAACTTCTGTATTTGTTCATTGAATATAAATACGGACCAAATGGAAATGCTTCCTTTAAGACTTCATTATCTCTTTGTGCTCCCGTCTCTAATCCATAGTACACCTCATATAAAGGATCATTAACTTTATTAATGTGGAGGAATTTCCAGCGCATCGCTGACTACATGTCCCTCCTGGCCACCGTGTTTCATTTTATATTACCGCTGCTACTTATGTGCATGGCTGATTAGCTTAT